TTCTTTTAAACTTTCTGTGTGTTTCTGTGTAGATTTAAAATACTATTTTTCACATGTAAAAGTGCATTGCTGTTCACACCTTGATTAAACTCAGTGTGATGCAAGCTGTGATGAAGCAACCACATGTAGTTGGAAACCACTGGAGTGAATTTTGTAGCTTAAACGTTTCACGTTTGGATGAACTGGGTCGGGCAAGTTTAAATTTCAAGTTCTGCCCTTATTTCAAATCACTGCAGGAAGTTCACAGTTCAGGGAACACTGATAGTAAAATTATTGCCAGAGGTAGAGTGAGAAGTTTGGATGCTCCCTATTTGTAAGCTTCACAATTTCCCCCTCTTCTTGTCAGATCACCATATGTGTTATTTGAATTCACCTCAGTTATGTTCAGACATATCCGTATCTGTTGTCTGCAATCAATTCAGACACAGTGGGGTGTCCGGCTACAGCATCATCGATCGATGTTTTTGGATCTATCGCTGAATCAAATTATGACAAAGCAATCGCAGAGAATTTCTTAGCCAATTAAGCCACTGACCTTTTCTTTAAAGTGAGCAAAGTTTTGTGTGTTCAATAAGTTTGCTAACCTGTCAGCGTGTGTTGTGTTCTTGTCATCTTGCTGGCTGCTATAAGCTGGTGAACCTAAAATACCACATCATCAGAAATCAATGTCATCAAAGTTCATGTAGTCATTTTTCACTCATTTGTTCCACTCTTTCAGCCAACATCAACTCCTGATGGATATATATACATACTGCTCTTTAGCTTGTTCAATATATTCCCTATCCAGGCTTATTTCCACTGTTAAGCCAGTTTAAAGACCTTTCATATTGTTTTTGTTTATTTATTTTTGGTCTGGTGCTTACATTCCCCCCCCCCTCTTTCCTCTGCAGATCTATGATCCAGCCATTTGAGAATTAACGAAAAAAAGCAGTTGTTATCTTTCATTTTTATTAAAGTTGCTTTTCAGTCATTTAGCTGTGTACATTGCCAAACCAAAGCACAACATAAATATCAATATATGTAATTTCTATATGTACAGATGGCATAAACTCCACCATCATCAAAATAAATACATGATGCATTAAATACATTTTTTTCTTTTTATAACTTAGTGATACAATGAAATCTTCTCACAAAGTATTATTTATTTTAAATATGCACGTTTTAAGATATTTTTACATTTGAGACTGATAATGTGTCTCAGACTGAAGAGATGCACTGCAACTAATAGCAGACCACTAGTACACTGTATCTAGCAATAGAGAAATGTCAGGGCAGGTGTGGTAGTTTTAATAGCATTTTTGGCATTCTGTGCACATAATAGTAGGATAGCAAAATGAAAAAAAATAATAATACACTGCTACACTATAATACAGCATGTACAGCCAGGATGCGGCCACATCAACATGCATGTTTAGGCTACAGTAACCTTTCATCTCCTCATCCTCTCTGCTTTTTCATCCTTATCAATTGTACTCAACAGTAAACAACTCATCAAAATACACAAAACCCTACTGGTATTGTAATCTCATTCCAATTTGGGTGTGCTCTAGTAGCCTACATTAGCGTCTTTTTGGTTTCCATCCATTGGCATAATATCAGACAAACACTGCAAAAAAAACAGAGGCCATACCACAATTGAGACAAGGGGGAGAAAATTCATAGAACGGGTTTTGCGTTGCAGAGAATCAGTTACTTTCAGGTCAATAGTAGCTAGTGTGTGCAACTATCCCTTTTTATAAAGCGGCACAATAATGAGCAGTCCAAGACAGGAACATGAAAAGATGCTGCTGGAGAATGCTGGATGACGCCATTGTCTCTGTCTCCTGTTGATTTCAAACACGTGGATGTCTTTTGAAATGTTCTGTATGTGTGTGTGTGTGTTTGTTTGCGTGCAAGAGTACATGTGGGTGGGTGGGTTGATGCGCCAGCGTGCCTTTGTCCGTGTGACAGTGTAGGCAGTAGATGTGACATTCTGGATTTAGTTGCTAGTTGTTAGTCATAATCCACCAGGAAGCTGGAGAAACACACATAAATCGAGAAAGTTTAGCCAACTCACACCAAAATGATATACAATAAAAGGTCAACAGTGTGCAACAAGCAAACAGTCTACTCCAATTTTTGTTGTGTTGCTGTTTCAAACTGTCCACTGATTTTATGTTTCACCTGGTGAGCTTTTAAGTCTATAACTACTTAAGATGTAAATAGATACCTAGTTGTAAATCAATAAAGTCTGGCAGTATAACTATGACTTTCAGACAACTGACCTAAGAAAAACAAGAAGAAGGAAAAGTGCAGAGAAAAAAAAAGTTTTTAGGGTCAGCAGATTGTTTTGTTTTATATATTTTTAACTTTATTGATTCCTAGGTCGATCCCTTCCTCCTCTTCTTACATTTTATAAACTATCCTCTCTCTTCCTCTTATCATTGCCATCTGCCCTCACAAGAATCCCCCAGCAACCCACACCTTAGAAGCAGCTAACAGCTACTTGAATAAAAATACTTTTCTTAACCCAAACACACCTCTTCACATAGAGTTACATATGAAACATTTTTTTTCTCAAAAGTAATGAAACAACAGTAAAGACAAGTTAAGTAAAAGAGTTTAATAAAGTGCAGTTATACACGTATTAAATACAATCTTATTGCTAACGTGTGAAGACACATTTCCCAATGGCCTCTTACTTCTACTCATCTGAACCATTTTCAGTATAAATGATTATGCCTGTTTCCAAACCTCTGCTCTAGCCTCAAGGCATAACACAGTATTTGTACTGTCACCTCAAAGCAGGAAGGCCCTGGGTTCAAATTCACCAGCTACGGAGAGCTTAATCCCCCTGTGATGCTTACCCACCAGGTTGCCCTAGCAACCTGTAGATGTGTACTCTACCTCCTTCCCCATGACAACTGACTCAGTGGCCACAACAGCTTCTTTACTGTTGTGAACCTTAAATTCGAACCCATGCTTCCGAGCAGTGTCATTTTAAAACTGGTCTTCAGCTACAGTTCTTCAGGCTCTCTGAAGGTCGTTGAAAGTTTTTCTTTGGACATTGGCTGCTTTTTTCACTCATTTTCAGTCCAGTTCTTTTACCATTTACAGACCTTAACACTAACCTAAAAATCATCACACAGTTTGAGAGGCATAAAATAATACTTTTGCACCAAAAAGAGATTCTCAACGAGCTTTAGCCAAAAAGCTGGCATATCTCAACATGGTGTGCAGAAAAAAAAGTGGCAGGCCTAAAAAAAAAGAGAAAATATCTACAGCAGATGAACAGTTACTGAACATCATGTCCTTAAGAAACTTTTTAACATGACAATGATGATCAACTTACTGACAATCCAATTAAATAATACCTGAAAAACACACAATGGAACGCTAGGACCCACTGACAGACCTCCCCAGAGCCTGGACCTCAACATTACTGAAGCAGCGTGAAATCATCTTGACAGAGAACAGAACAAAAAGCAGCCAACATGCAAAAAAGAGCTTTGAATGTCCTTCTAGAAGTCTGGCAAACTGTTCCTGAAGACTACTTTAAGACATTGCCAGAAAGCTTACCTAAGAGAGTTCACACACTTTATACCAAATATTGACTTTTAAGCTTGTTAGAATCCCTCTGTTTTCCCCTCATGTCATGTATATTTGCACATTTCAATAAACCGCTGAACCTACTTTTCTGTTTCCTAGAAAAATTCAAAGAAATGAGGGGTGGCTCAAGATATTTGATCAGTACCGTAAGCCTTTAATAGTCAGCAAGCTTACGTGACATACCAGTCAGAGATGTGGATGTAAACAACTGTGTACAGTAACCTAGTAACAAGCACAACCCATACATCCCACACAGTTAAATCAGCACTGCAATGGAGCTAAGAGGCAGAAATAAATATTAACAGCATTGGTTTCTGAAGAATTTTTTATTTGTTTTCTGTAGCTAGTTATTCAAATGTGAAGACGAGAGAAATGAGATGAGACCCACTGCAGCCTCTGCTGGACTTTTCCATGTGTTGAGGAGTCAGCGATGTGATGACGAACAAAGTAAATATGTGCGTCACACAGAAAATCGCTTTTCTAAATGTGTTCATAATTGACTTTTTTCTTTATATTTATGCATGTGTCTGAAAGAAAACAGGCGTATGATAATAATGGATTGCATTTATATATTCATTCACTCTCACACACTGGTGGAGGTAAGCTACAGTTGTAGCCACAGCTGCCCTGGGGCAGACTGACAGAAGTGAGGCTGCCATATCGCACCATCGGCACTTCACCGGTAACTGAAGTGTTTTGCCCAAGGACACAACAACCAAGACAGACAGAGCTGGGGATCGAACCAGCAATCTTCCGGTTACAAGATGAGCTTCCCAACCCCCTGAACCATGGTCACCCCAATATAGCTCGCACTTACCTTATCCTGATTTCTGTGACTTGCAAACATGTTATCTAGTGTTTGCATCTCCTTTAGGCTAGTTATAGAAATTTTATTTTTATTTTCCATTATTCAATCCATTATTTTGCACTGTAAATGAATTATTGTCTGGAATTATGAATGTGCTTAAATATGCATAGAGTGACACTTTAGTGCACCTTAACACATCTAAACCTAATGTATTAACTTAGTAAACACCTTTAGTTACTGTGTTAATCACTCTAAACTTACTTTCAGCTAATGTTAAATGACCACAGTACTAGTTACAGGGATACCAGATACAGGGGTGAATAGTTATCTAGTATGTGCACCTCGAAAAAATATTTTTATTAGTTAGCATCGTCTGTTCGCGCACAACAGTCGCGCTAGCACAGTGAAAATCATAAATAAAATGTAGGTTC